ACACTTTTTAGCGCGGACCCGACGTCCATATAATTGTAAGTCAATGGCTCGAAACGTCGGTGTGTTTGAAAAAACAAATATACGCGATTTAAATCCGGAAAAATAGTTTCATGTCCTAAATTTCGTTTAAGTTTTATTATATTTCCAGTTTTATTATTTATTTGTTGTCTTTTTAGGCTATATAGCCAATTGTCACTAAATAAATACTATTAATTAACTAATCAGCGTTTTTTGAATGTTTTAGTTCAAGTTAAGAAAGTATTGTTGACAAATTATTGCAATACATATTTAAATGGGATTTTAATCATTTTAATAATTTTATTGACTTAGTGGAAATCGGAAAATAACTTTTGAATAGTGCCAAATTTTACTTTAATGCAATCAATGAAAATGTAAGAACACAAAATACGTTCCAATTATGTTATAAAATTACGAACTCACTTTATTCATTTCAATGATAATGACTAGACATGTCGACCCCTCCGACGTAAAGTATCGTATGTCGAAATTGCCAAGTCTACAGGGACGCATTTTAAAGTTCTGAATTCACTGAAACGAACATAACACGTGACTTTAGCATTTCTCAGTTTTATTCGGCAAAGCTCATTACTCACATAGAGTATTATAAAATCCTTGATATCGGTTAGATGATCTATGGTGATCACTCTTTCAGTGAATTCAGAACTTTAAAACGCTCCCCTGTAAACTTGGCAATTTCGACATACGATACTTTACGTAGGAGGGGTCGATGTACGAAAAGTTGTCGATATTACAAAACAACGCAATAAGTATGATCAATAATAAAATTAATTAAAAAAAGTTATTGGTGCTTGAACGCTCCCAGGATAGTACATCTGTCTATTTCTTTCATATGATTTAGTATGTAGTTCCACCTCGCTCTTGTTAGATGTCAGCCAGCCAGCCAGAGATAATAATTAACGTTTAAAAAGTAAAACTCATCATCCAGGCATGCCATTCCCGTTTAACTTTGTGTAGGTCATGATACGAATTTAAGCAATTCAGTTTTACCACGTCAAGTGAATTGCATGGAACTTGGCTGGCTGCTTATAAGCTCATAGTAGGCCCTCTGTGTGTACGTCTCCGTATATTCCAAAAATATTCTGTTTTTATTGTAATAAAGTTAATATCTCTAACAATGGCGTGCTGTTCCATTCGGTAGTGTGCGGACAAATAGCAAATCATCTAATTACAAACAAACAAAATCAAATTTCATCGGTGATTAAATATTAAACATGTAATTTTGCAATTTCCGTTAATTCTAGCAAAGCTTAAGTTGACAGGTCGATTGAAGTGAAACAATTGATGACACCCGTCAATTGTTTCGAAGTCGGGCTGGCCAATCGTCGCTACAGTAATGATATGGCAGAATAGTTTTCAAATAAATTAAATGACATTTCGTCTCTATTTCTGGTTACTCGATGTTTCAGGGTGACGGGTGCAGTCACAGTGCCCCTCAGATATTTGTAATTCAAAGCTCTGAGTGGCAGTGCAACTGTCATAGACAGGTATGTCGCTTTCCACCAGGCGTATGACTCGTTCGTCTCGTATCTTGGTATCATAAATAAAGTAACATTTAACCGGGACGAAATTTTTAATTAAACTCTCCTGTATGTGTAAAACACGAATGAATTCGAAGCTTGGACTGTGAAAGATAGACCTCTATGCATGTTACATCTATACGATTCTGTACTGACCTTCATTCATCGCCATGTCCATGAGCTGCAGGTCCTCATCGTTCAGGATGGACTGCAGAAAACCGTCCTGGTTGCCCGGTGGCGCCATCTCCGTCGACGAGTTCTGAATCAAAAAAATTAAATAACTTAGACAGTGTAAGTATGTCGATCCCACGGAAGAAAAAAAAAACAGTGGGAATCCCGTAGCTCTCGATTACTACCGGAACGCACACAAACATATGATAAACACTACGAAATCTTGATAATGATTGGTCAGTTTCTAATTTAAAAAGATGTAATAAATTCTGTTAGATAAATATGTACGGAAAGACGACATCTGTCTAGATCCCACACAAATTTTATTCAAGGTGTATTCCATAGCATTTAAGTTTAAGAAGCAATCCCTAGAGTTTCTGGCTCGTTCTTCTCAGGGAAGTCAGCGTAGTGCACAAGCAGTAGCTTAAATGTGACGTTTTCAAGTGTAAATTTATTTTACCTATACAACAAATGATTCTTTGTCATTTATGTACCGCTATTACAGAGTATCATAGATATCGATTCATTCGTAGAACAAAGATCTATGTGCAAGACTACTTGTTTTCAGGACATAGTACATTTCGTTCGTTCTTCTTCGCCGTGGATGTCATATCGGCACATGTCTTCCCTCCCTCTTATGATATGGGGTCCTTCAAACGAGGCGTGAAGAGGCATATTGTAGGCAGGCAGGGTGGAGGCGGCTAGTGCAGTGAGGATTCCATCGCTGCACTAGGTTCCTTCGCGTTTGGATACCACTTTCCACTTAACATCAGGTGGAGTGGAGTCATTTGCCTGTCAGGTATAAAAAAAAAAAAAAAAAAAAATATCGATCGTTGTTCGATTTTATATTTCCGGAACGAAATAAAATATATAAATTCTTAGTTTGAATAAAGAAATTATTATCGTAACGTACTTATTGTCTTTTTGCTAATAATCACATCGGACTTTGTTCTTCGGATGAGTCGATATATAAACTAGCTCAATGTCAACTCCGTTATTATCTAGACGAGTTGTGTATCTATCAACAATATAATTGATAATGTGAAATGCGTTTTATTATTCACACAGTATTAGTTCCGGCAGTAGATAATCTCCAGCACAGGTGTAGATTTGTTTACTCTACTTGTATTATTAATTTTAAGTGAAATGATAAGTAATATTATGAAAGGCGAATGACGAGAGGTCTATATATACAACGATTAATATTAAATTGCCAGATAAATTTGTTATACAACTGAGGCCCAATTGATATAGACAGGGAAATGAAACGACTGACTGAAATTGTAAAATCATCAACCAGGGAGTCGATTCTGAATCTTACGATAACTCAGTTATCGATCGATTCGCTTTGACATCGTATGAACTCTTCATTTTTATTCACAACACCCGACTCGAACGTTAAACCGAACCGAAATGACATCACACCCGTACGATTACGCGTCTTCTCGACGCCGGCAAAGGCTACAAACATTATTCAGAGCACAGTTATCGAATGAGAGTTACCGAACGTCCTTTTGTTTACAAAACAGGAACGTAATATGGAAATCTCTTATTATTTTAAATAAAGTCTGGATTTTATTAATTTATTTTAATGCAAGACTAAAGCATTCCTATATTTTACTCCTTTAAAGTCGTAAATATGTATATAAAAGTATTTTAATTTTTCTTATAATCTATTTCACCGACTAACTCCGTAAACGCTGTTGAATAACGATATCGTATCCGAATCCGAACTCGAATGTTCTGAATAGCTCGGAAAGCGCCCTTCGATTCGAGAACGATATAAATCCAACGATTCGGTTAAAATATCGAAGAGTTCTGAATCGGGATCCAGGCCCCAGGTTCGATCTCCTGGCGGGTCAATGTAAAAAAAACGAACTTTTCTAAATTGTCTGGGAAGTGGGTGTTTGTGATCCGTCGATGTCAAAGATTTCCATAACACAAGTGGTTTAGTTACTTACTTTGGGATCACAGCAACGTGTGTGATGTTGCATAATATTTACTGTCATATTTTCACCACCATTTTTTGTTTATAAAGGTAAACAAAGCAGTAATGCGAGAGTTCCGGTTTGAAGGGTGCTGGTGAATTAACGGGCACATGGAGATGTCAACAGGCGCAGTGGCAGTGGCCGACAGATAATTGCTATTTAAAGTTTTGAGAGGCAATGCAAATGTTACGGATAGACGTGTTCCTTATCAGCAAGCGCACGACTTGTTCGTCCCGTCACTTCATATTATAAAAAAAGCTACGAGCTTCTACCACGAGATTTCGAGTCTTTAAAAGACGACTTGCGAGTTGAAGAGGAAGAAAGGAAGAAGCAACATGTTGGCCCGTGTAGTGGCGATGTAAAGATTGTCGTAATCAAGGCATATTGCCAGTCTTTTTATACTTGCATCCTTCGGGTTAAATACACCTTAAAATCTCTTAGCGCCCTACGAATTTCTGTACAAGCTGTCACGATGTTGCAGTGCATCGAGGATGTTCGCCATAATTAAGGTAAGGCTTTGTTATTCTGCGAAAAAGATGTTCCCAGGTGCCTATGCAGTGTCAGAAACTCCCGCATCCGCGGCAGCCTTCACGTCCGTGACATTGCAGATAAACTGCAAGAAAGCCGCCTACGTTGGTACGGCCACATCTTAAGGAAACCGGCATGCTACGTGGGAAACAAATGTCTGGCTATGCCACCTCTGCTGGGCCCCGGTAGTAGGGGCAGACCCAAGAAGTGCTGGTTTGACGTCGCCAAGGGTGATATGCGTGCCAATGGTCTCATCACTAAGGATGCCGAAGACCATGCAAAGTGGAGGAGAAAAAGTAGGAAAGCGGACCCCGGACTCCGCAGCAACACTGCTGAGGACGCAACCGGGATAACGCTCAGATGAGAGAGAGAGAGAGAGCCTATACACCTGGGCACATCTTTTTCGCAGAACAGCAAAGCCGAACTCTATAATTCGTGGCAGCGACAACAGTCTCCTGAGTATAATCGCAAACAAGATCCAAGGTTCTTTCCATGAGCACAGAGGTTCCGGTTGCATATTAGTTTTAGAAAAAAATGTCACATGTTGTACTAACTCTATTTTTAAGAGCTTTGTTAGTTGTTACTAACCTCTACGGATGAATATTCCGAAATGAAGATATATGAATTTGATTACTGTAGCAGTAAAGTTGTCGCGTTAATTACTTCACTTTGCATTAAACAAGAAACAACATTTTGTAGACAACAATTTTACGCGATCGCTAGCGAGAACTGTCAATGTAATTTCAAGGTAGAGGCACAGGACCTAGTATGTTCTTTCTCTCGTCCAGACTCTATCGAGACGCACCGGCAGAGGGAGGACGTGTTGCACTTCAGTTTAACTTACAGATGGCGCTTTCGTCTCGAAGTTGCGCGTCCGTGTCCATGACCGTTTGCGACATATTCAATATCATGCGTTGTAGCAAAAATACGTGGCCTTGTAAAACGGCAAATCGCGGTGATTTTTATAAAAAAAAACACCTGACAACAATTATCTTAAACCGTTATCTATGAGAGTCACAGATTATCTAGCCTTTTCCCAGCGGGTATGTTCATCGTTGCCTAGTAACAGAATTTAGTTTGTTTGCCTCGTGGTTAAATGTTTCATCATCTTATCTTTCTGTTTATATATTTGTAGCGAAATTGATAATAATAATAATAAAAACGCACACACTTAGCATAGCCCCGCAGTAGGGAAACCCTGAGTCGCATGTGCCATGGACACACATGGATAACCACAAATTACACCCAAACTCACGAGAGATTTTTTTTAATAATATCAAGTGACGGGACGAACAAGTCGTGCGCCTGATGGTAAGCTACACGCCTGTCCATAACAGTTGCAGTGCCACTCATAGCTTTAAATTGCAAAGATCTGAGGGGCACTGCCACTGCGCCCGTCATCCTGATAACATTGTTTAGGTTATAACATTGTATGTATAATAACCTACAACAATTGCAAATATAAAATATCAAAATGACATTTGCAAAAAATGAAACAGAAATTTTTACAATTCATTGTTCAATCAAATATAAAATTATTAAATTTATCTTTCGCAACATTATCTTGGACTGAATAACACATACTCACTGCTGTGATAAACAATTATAAAATTAAAATCCAGGATAATTATCTTTATAACAAATTGATAACGTTTTTATCAATAATAATTATAACACCAATGACAACAATGATTATGCGTATAAATCATCAGAAATACGAAATGGGTAAAGCATTTTTACCTAAACTTAAAATAATACAAAATGGCGTAGATAATACCTTCCGAACTTACGTAATGATTAAACATAAAAGGCTAAAAAATCAAAATATCAAAAGCTAAGGGAAACAATAAAATTTTCGAAAAGCAAAGGAAATTGAGAAGATTTAAGAGTAACTGTAATACTAACGGATATATTTCAATCCGGCTTCCCATCATCTGGGGGCTAGATGTAGACTGGGGTTCCACCACTATCTTGTGGATATTCCAAAGATTCGCACGAAGCATTACGCTTCCACGTTTATATGGCGAACGGCTATGGAGTCGAATTGTCTGCCTGAACATTTGTTTACTGAACTTGGGCCTTTTCAAGGCGAGAGTGAACAGAAAATATTATTTAGGAGTGCACGCTCTATCGTCGACCTCATTGTCACTTTCCATCAGGTGAGATAGAGAGCAAATGCGCACTTATTTTTTGTTTAAAAAGATAACGAGTAACTGCGATAAAACGAGTTACTGAAAAATAAACACAAAATTAATTATATAACAAATTCATTATTTAACAAACTATAAACGAAATATCATTAGAATCTGGCACAGTATGCTTGAAGACGCTGCTTCGAATAAAGGCGGATCGAAGAGGCTCTTATTGTTCGATCCTTTTACTACTAATTATAACAAACTAGTGGATTATTGGTTCGTTCCGTGGCTTAGTTGGTATAGTGTCTAGCACGGTATGCAAGAAGACGTCGGTTCGAATCCGACCGGATCGAAAGAATTTTTTCTGAGTGTTTTTTCTGAGTGTTCGATCTTTGTATTAACAATTATAACAAACTAGTGGAGTAATTTCCCAAAAAATAATTGAATATCAATTCAATAAAAATTTAATTAATACAGTGAATAGCGACATCTCTCGCCAGGACTGGTAGCTGTAAAGGTACTAACTGGGTGATAAATCTGTCAAAGATTTCTCATAGACGGCGCTACGACTAAAAAGTCGTTGAAAAAGCCAAGTACAAAGACACGACGCAAGCACATAGAAGAATTCGTGAGGCCCGTTGGTTCCTTCCGTGGCTTAGTTGGTATAGCGTCTGGCGCGGTATGCAAGAAGACGTCGGTTCGAATCCGACCGGATCGAAGGAATTTTTTCTGAGTGTTTTTTCTGAGTGTTCGATCTTTGTATTAATAATTATAACAAACTAGTGGAGTAATTTCACAAAAAAGAATTGTATAGAAGTTGAAGTTTTATTGAAATCGGTTAACGGAAACTGGGTCAAATACAATGAACCGGATTGATGATGATGGATTAATTTGCCACCTTAAGAGCTGGAATATTCATATTTGAATGAGACCACCACTCAGATACCCCCTTTCCAACAAAAAAAAAACGGTAGAATTGAGCATTCCTTGCCCGTGAACCTCCTGACTGGTTCATCTCGGTGGACCACGGCCAATTGAGAACCTCCTCCCATTTTTGAAGTCGTTTAAAAACTATAACAAAATAACTACGTGATTTCCGAGGGAGGTATTAGCCACTCGATACGTTATTTTCGTTTAGGCAAATATTGCCTTTAAGGTAAATATTATAGGTACCTATTTCGAACTCTAATCGTTATGAATAATCAACACGTATACGTTTCTTTCTTTCTTTCAAATGTTATATTGTCTGTGGTCAATTGAAAAATAACATTTTAGCACGCATTTTAAGAATGACCATATTTAGCAGCAGTAGAGCTCCTTGCGAGAGTTCATCCAGGGAAGTAATGCCAAGTTTCGGTTTTGAAGGGCAAGGTTGCTGGTGAAATTACAGGCACATGGGACTTGTCACCTTATGTCTCAGGGTGACAGCCATAGTGGCGGTGCCCCACAGATCGTTGTCATTTAAAGCTGTGCAACTATTATGGACAGGCGTGTCGCTCACCACCAGGCGCACAACTTGTAAGTCCCATCACTCGGTACCATAAAAATAAAATCTAAATATTCATTACAATCAATATAACTTTTTTGATTTGGTTCCTGTATAGGTGTGTTCTAGGAAGTGCCCCTAAGGACGTCTGTTGCTCTGGTACTTCTGGTTTGAGACCAGGTAATTCATGTGGTTGTCTGACACGTTATTTTTATTACACATATAAACTCATCATCCAAATCACCCAGTAGACGTCCACTACTGACTATAGGCCTCCCCCAGAGATTTCCAGTCTAGCCGATGGGACGCGACGTGCATCCATCGGTTAGCCGTCGCCATTACCGGGTCATCTAGTAGGGGGCCGTACCACTAAACGCCTTCCGGTACGTGGTCTGCGTTCGAGAACCTTTCTGCTCCAACGACCGCCAATTCTACGTGATATGTGCCCTACCCACTGCCACTCCAACTTGCTAATTAATTTGAGATATGTCGGTAACTCTCGTTCTTCTCTCTCTCTCTCTCTCTCTCTCTCTCTCTATCTCCTCATTTCTGATTAGATCACGTAGAGCAGGGTTTCGTAACCTGTGGTCCATGGACCTCTAAGGGGTCCGTGTAATAAACGTCAGGAGTTCATAACGGGCCTACCCAACATATTGCATTAATATAAAAATTCGCATACAATATGTTGTGAGGAAATGGGTGCAGTGCACGTGACTATCCGTACGTGGCTATCCATTATAAGAGCGAGCGAGACGCGCGTCAATGCAACCCGCGAGGCTTTCCTATTCTATTTATTATTAATCTGGCGGCACAACAAAACCTGCGTAGACCGTGAAAATCTTGTTCATCTTTTTGGAAAGGGTCCGTAGGCTCTTTGAAGGGGTCCATGACTACAAAAAGGTTAGGAAACCCTTATGTAGAGAAATGCCGAGTATTGCTCGCTCTATAGCTCGTTGAGTGACTTTGAACAATTTATGAGGCCCGTAGTAAGTGACCACGACTCAGAGCCGTAGGTCATCGCTGGCAACACACACTGCTCGAAGACTTTTGTTTCCAAGGACTGAGGCATTGCGGATGTCTCAGAACTTCCCGAAAGCTGCCCAACTGAGTCCGATACAAATATATAGACATACAAACTCACCTGGTAGTAAAGCCCATCATGCTGCTGGGGGTGATGAGCAGATTCCACTTTGTAAGCTCCTTCGAGAGGCGCCGCTGCCCCTGCTGCAGAAAATAGGACAAAATCAGATCGCGTTTAAGCACCATGGGTTTTTTAGATCATCATAATTATGAACCTTGGACCAATATTTGAAGAGGACTGCTGGTTGCGAGACAAGACGCCGTAGTTGAGTATTTAGTACCTATTGGTATAGCAGATGTCGCCACGAGTCCCAAATATATTTTTTTTCGTACCAAGTGGCAGAGCGAACACGTCGTGCTCCTAGTGTTACGCGACACGTCTGACCTCAAGAATCGCAAAGATCTGAAAGACACTGCCACTGCGCTTGTCACCCTTAGACATAAGTTGACAAGTCAGTCCCATGAGCCTGTTGCTTCACCCTTACAGTTCAAAACACAGTAAGTGCCACAGAGCTGCAGCATTTCAAGGGGGCTTTAAGTATGCCGCGGCGAAAATCTGGAATGATTTGGCTCCTCCTATTCGCAATGTAGCTTCTTTATCTGGCTTTCGCAAAAGAATTAAAGAGTTTACGGTAATAGGACAAATAAACGGCGTCAAGTACTGAAGCTAGTTTTTAATTTATTTTAGTATTATTATGACTCTGACATCATTCTTATTATTATTAATTTTGTAACTTTATACTGTTTAAGAGCACGCTGCATACTGTAATAATTTTATTTTATAATAATTGTTATTTTAAATGTTTAGGTTACGGATAAAATACTTGTTATTCTTTTTAGTTTTTGTCAAATAGGCATAGCCATCTACCTCTTCTCAGGCTTCAGCTGAAAATCAGCGCTGTGGCACTGCCCAGCATTAAGCTGAACAGGCTAGCCTTTTCGGCTATTATTATATATTTAGTAATATATATTCTTTTGTTCTTTAATTGTTTCTTCTTTAATTTAAATTAAATTTAATTTAGACTAAATTTAATTTAAATTTAAATTAATTATTAATAAAAAATTTAAATTAAATTAAATTTAATTTAGATTAATATTTTTTGTTTGTATATTTATTAATAATAGCCGAATAAATGTTTCTTTCTTTTTTCCTTTCTTTCTTTCTTTCTTTCTTAATGCTCTCAATGTAATATAGGTGGAGGTGCCAGTACTTCCCTGGACGACCTCTTACGCAAGTAGCTCTACATAATATTTGTAACTAATTTGTTTTACATTGACAAGCTGCAATTTATCAAAGCTACTCGAATTTCTAGTGACAACAAACAAATTACCTAGCAGGCGCTTATTGCACAGATTTTCATGGATAGTGCCGGCTATTGTTTTATTTTGTTTGGATTAGCGCCATCTACCCATATTAGGAAGCGTTAATTTATAAATTAGTTTGTAACAATGCCATCTATTGACACGCACATTTGTCAAAGTTCTGAAAATAATTTAAAATCGGTGAGGATCCGTGGACAGTTTGAGAAACCTGACACTATTTAAAAAAAAAAATACATCATACCGTAAGCATCTGGGTGTTTTTCCGGCACGGGAGGCATCGGCGGGGGCGCATGGTGATAGTTCGGGGCATAGCCTGCCGCGCCGTGAGCACTGAAATAAAAACATTTACCATAATTAAGCAATAGGACGAACAAGTCGTGCGCCTGGTGGTAAATAACACGCCTATCCATAACAGTTACAGTGCTACTCAGAGTTTTAGTTCGCAAAAATCTGAGGGGCACTACCACTGCGTCTGTCACCCTGAGACAATAAATTGAATAGTCCCATGTACCTGTATTTTAGTAAGAAGCAATAATGGTCACGAAGGCTCCCAATTATCAAGGTTTTCTTTGATAATTATCATTACAATTATCTGATAATTATCCGATATACATATATCCTTCAATTATCTTAGAAACTGTGAGAAAACTAAATAAACATAGCTCTGTCGCTCTCATTAGGTCCCAGTTATCCTTTCATATTCACCCTTCAATACCGGTTTTTATTCTCACTCCTTCACTGTTCATGTGGTTAGACTTTGGAACGCACTTCCTATTACTGTTCATGATACTAAATCCTTACAAATTTTCAAAATGCTAAGGATCACTATTTATCGACAATTCCTTCCATATTATAGGCATTAAAATACGAAATATGTATTTATCTAAATATTTATATAGTTTTAATAATTTAATGTTTTTGATATTGTTTTTTTATTACATAAGTTTTGTTTAGTTGTACACGTACGTCTGTATTTATTTAGATCTGCAGGTTGTTTGTGTTTTCCTTGTTACAATATGTGTTTCTATGTTTTCCTGTGCAATAAATGATTAAAAAATAAATAAACACGAAGAAATATGTTTAGCAAAATGATTTGGTTGTTTCTTTGAAATTAACATTTGACACGTTTGAATGCGTCTCTGATAATAAGACATGCCACGACATTATACCAGTAGAATTTTGTTGATCCAATAAATTTTATAAATAACAAAATAAATTATCAAAGTATATTTGTCAAGATAATTTATTGTGATAATTATCTATGACAATTATCAATTCGAACCCCGATGCGGGTTGTGTACATCAAACGCGATCGAAGACTTTCTAGATCTAGAACTTTCTCCGATATAAAAGTGTCATCCTTTGCGTCACCGTTTAACCTGGCGTCATTGGGGTTGGGTCATAATGACCCATCACATTTATAATTTTTTTTATACGTACGCGAGAGACGTTGCTGTTCGTCTCTGTAGCTGGAGCAAACATTCTGTTCAAATGTTTTTGACTAGCAAGCAGCTTGGCGAAAGCAGTGCTGTGAATTACACGTGTGAAATTATCAAAAAGGGTAATTATGACCCATCCTCACTGCCTACGTAACAATTTTGCGCCTTTATCACGGTTAATTTTTTTATTGCTGATTAATATTTATTTCAGTTTAATTAAATGTTTATGAATTATAGTTAAGTATTTGGTATTTATATTGTGATTCCTCTCTTGTTGTTGTCGAAAGGTAGTTAGAAAAAACTATATATACTGTATGCAATTTAGCACCAGTCACGCGCTGCCGCCGTAGCAAATGCAGCCTGTATCAAATCCAAAAAACTTCTTTAAATCTACTTAGCTTCAGATGATACAGACGGTGGAGATAGATGATACAGTTTGGCTGACAACACAATGACTCTTTATACATTGCTGGCCTAATCCGTTCAGAGAGGCAGAATCCGAGTGACTTACGGGCTGCCGATGTGAATCACTTGACATGACAAATGCGCAAAAGAATGTGACAATTCGTTGGTGAATCTTTAGAGGAGCCTCTTGCGTCCGTAGAAGATGCTAAGTATGTCAAAAGAGACCGTAAAACAAAACACATAAGTTAAGGTTGCAACAAATATATTCGTCTTGAACACGTAATATCTTTCTGCAGTGAGTATATTCTTATAGATGATTTAATAAACTTTTTTATACTTATTTCCAAAGATTAGATAGTCCTATGAATAAAACTGCCACAAATAATTGAAAAGATTGATTATTAGCGTATAAAATTTATAAAAATATAAGAATGCTCAATTTAGTTCTTGATTTTTGTGTGTTTCATGTAAAAGTTTCATAAAACGAATTAAAAGTCCGTGAATAAATATTTATTTCTTTTATTTCTAAGCTCAAAGTTTAATTATGCCATTAAATAATAAAGATTACGGATTTATACAAATATAATGTTGGTAATAAAGTGGGTAATATCGACCCAACTCACAGTCCGTGTAACAATTTCCTATCACAATGATGCCGGGTTAAAAAAGCAATAATTCTGTACGTCGGACGTACTCCGGGCAACAATCGGCGAGAACCTTACTTAATTATTTCACCACGATAGCAAGCATTACAGTGTATGCCATCAATACGATAAGAAGAAGGTTTCGGGTTGAATCCCCGATCGGCTCAATGTAGAAAAAATTATTTTAGTTTGGATTTTTTTAATGATAAATTTATAACAGTTCCAGCGCCACTCGAGTTTAAATCGAAAAGATCTGAGGTACACTGCCTCTGCGCCCATGACCCTGAGACATAAGTTGACAAGTACCATGTGCCTGTAATTTCACTAGCACCCTTACCCTTAAAAATCGGAACGCTGACATTACTGCTTGGCGGCAGAAATAGGTAACTCTACTGCTACTAGGTGCTTGTGGTGCCGTCGTTGTTTCCGATTTCCATAACACAAGTTCTTTAGTTACTTACTTTGGGATCGGAGTAATGTACGTGATGTCGTATAATATTTTGTCTACACACATATCACAAACTCTCTATAATGTGTTCAAAAACCGCAAATTACGACCAGCATAAACGCAAACTAAACAGTTTACTGCAACTAGAATGTTAGAACAAATTTCTTATCTGTGAAAATGTTATTATTGCTTCTTTTATTACCATTGACTTACAATTATGTGGACGTCGGGTCCGCGCTAAAAAGTGTCCGAACTCATAGGGCGTTAAAATCGTATACAGAGCGTCATTCATGCTTTAGTCTTCGTTTGTTCGACTGGCAGCGAAGCAAGCAAAATTAGACAGTACTGCGATGACATTACAATTTAAATTCAACGTTTTAACTTTTTCATATTCCTTTACATGTCACTACGTTTAAATAGGTTGACTTGGGACATCTTTTTCGTGGTTTTTGTATTAGACCCGTCGTCCATTTATTTGTAAGTCAATGTTTATTACATTCAATTTTTTAACATTTCTGAAAACAAAACAATTGGACCTCAATTCTAATATCAGTCGAGATGAAGTTTTATTCGAAATGAACCATTCTATTAATCAATAGCATTGACTTACATTGTAAGTCAATGATCAATAGCAAACAATATTGACAATCTCACACGCAACTTGATATCGAACGATATGATATTTGGGACCGATTCTAGTTTGTCTACGAATTAAAAATAAAAACTACGGTTGTGTAACGTGCGTGAGAAAAGTTTTTATTTGCCGCCATTTCACCAGTCGTAACATGCAGTTCCTGAACACATCATAGAGAGCTTATAATATGTGTGTAGATAAAGCAGTGTACGTAACTGTACATAATAAGGCATTAAAACACTCGTCAGATGTTTTTATGAACACCCTCTGTCGTGTTTTAATGCCTTTCATTACGTAACAGTCACATAAACTACAATATTTAGGTAGTTAATGTTAATTTACTCCTTTTTTTAACGATTTAAATTTTATTCGCAATTGATTTTACCTGATGTTATGATGCGGGTGCGGGTGCGGATGCGGATGCGGATGCGGATGGGGGTGGCCGTGGGGCTGGTAGTGCTGGTACTGGTCCGGTGGAGGTGGGATGGTCAGCAGAGACGCCAGATCTTGCCAGCGTTGCTCCACGGACATCGACCGCATCAGCGACTGGAAAATAATATTTTATTTAACAATAAATGCATTAATGTTTATTTATTACAACATGATGTTTTAGTATCATGATTTTAAAATATTTTAAGCAACCGAGCTTGAAACAGAGTGAGTGGGACAAATATTTGTATTGGGTTAAAAGCGCACCTGTGAGAAACTTATTCTTATGTTTCTCACACTTGCGCTAGAATTCGAACTTTTCCCGTACTAATACGGTTCATTTTGCTCGGGTCGAGCCGCAGGGACAACTTTTTTATAAAAGAAATTAAAGGCATTTGAAAAACGTATATCGTATACTATACGAATTCTATTTAGTTTAGTTGATATTTAAAAAATCATTGGTATATGTAAAATATCTAATATAGCGGTTTCCTTGTAAAATTTTAAGTAGTGTATTTTTTTCTATGGCGCATATTTTTTGGAATCGTGTTTTCACACCTTATAGGAATCAGTGTATATACCCAATTTTACTATATATGTTTTACAAAGTGATTCATTCAACATTCTCATTGTTACGCCGAAACAACCAAAGCCATTTGAGGTACTCTTGTGGCCCCAGCATGTTTGAGTGCAGTCAGATTGAAGGGATTTTTCTTTGTGGCCGATTTTTGTATCAATTATTTAAAAAAAAACCAACCGCAGCTGGTATATTTTTAATAACGCCCTCAGTCAACATAGCCTAGGGAAACCCTGTGTCGCGGGTGCCATGGACACACACATAGACCACCACGAATTACACCCAAACACACGTGAGAAATAAATGTAGGCTATCATTGACTTACAATTATATGGACGTCGGGTCCGCGCTAAAAAGTGTCCGAACTTATAGGGCGTTAAAATCGTATACAGAGCGTCATTCACGCTTTAATCTTAATTAGACAGTACTGCGATGACATTACAATTTAAATTCAACGTTTCAGCTTTTTCATATTCCTTTACATGTCACTACGCTTAAATAGGTTGACTTGGGACATTTTTTTCGTGGTTTTTGTATTAGACCCGTCGTCCATTTATTTGTAAGTCAATGTAGGCTATACAAATATTTCTCCTGGCCTGGAAACCGAGGCAGTTTGAATACAGATATCGAACAAACTCAAAGAACAGTAACTTGTCTTTATTGACACATTTAATATGTAAATTTTGAAGTTGTGACATTCTTATTATTGTAGCAATCAATTAAACTTGTAATATTAAGGGAAATCAGCGTAAGTTGCTACAAACTTTGTGTTATAGAAAATTTTCGTTCGTGATTTCGTTTATACGTGTGTGGTCACATAATCAGGTAAAATGAGCATGTTTTTTGTAAATAGTAGCAGCGAAAAATCACAAATAGCTGTGAAATACGGCCGGACATCGTAAAAATATCGTAAAATCGAAAATCTTGCGCGTTTTACCGTTAAAATCAATATATTTGTTTAATTAATATTTGGTGAGAGTCCGCCATATTTGAAGAGATTTCGCGCTAATTTTGGAAAGCAACTGTAGGGCTATTCTTGTTTATGGTACATGTTGCAGTGATATTGGTATGTTTATATTTTTGCGAAATATCTAAGTCCACTTAAGTGCACTACTTAGTGCAAATTCAATTAATTCCTTTATAATTACAGATTATAATTCCATGAGTCTAAATTCCACACAAATATGATTTAAAGTGTATTCCACAACATTTAAGTTTATTTGAAAAGAGCAATCTTTAGTTTCTTGCTCGTCCTTCTTAGGGAAGTCAGCACAGTGAACGTACTGGCTTAAAAAAACGTTTTTAAGGGTAATAGTGATTGCTTGATTTTGAATTAATAATAATTTAGTAGCAGTAGAGCTTCTTGTAAAAGAGTGTGTTCCGGTTTTGAAGGGTAAGGGTGCTAGTGAAATTACAGGCACATGGGGCTTATCAAATGTCTCAGGGTGACGACACTATGCTCGTCAGTGCCCCTCAGATCTTTGCGATTAAAAGCTCTGAGTGGCACTGCAACTGTTATGGACAGTCGTGTAGCTTACCATCAGGCGCACGACTTGTTCGTCACTTCATTGATGTTATAAAAAAATGACTGATAATTATTCTTTTTTGTAGTATTGATGGTTCGTGGACATTTCTGCTACACATTAAGCTTTAAAAATGTTTTTATTAATTCCGAGGCCCGTTTTAATAACTAAAAATATAGTCACAACACAACAATTATGGATTTTGCAAATTGCGGTTTTTTTTTTTAATTCTTCCATAGATAATACAACTCGACCTAAAATGTTGTAAAAAACAAAAACACGAATACAGCCATGATGTGTGATTGTAAAAAAAGGCTAAATTTTTATACTGAAAATAATTAAAATCAATTAAAAGAAATTCTTAATAATATGTATTTAAGTAATTAATGTTTTAATTTTGAATTTAAGTAACCTCTTTGCTTGAACTTGAAACTGCTCTATGTAAGGCAGAATGTTGTGCTGCTAAATTAAGCTCTTTATCTACCATGGCTGTAACGTAAAGCAAAAAGGCCCGAAGGTTTTATGTGGGACATTATAGTCAAGTTAGCCACCATGGAATCATACCATTTACGAGCAAGTGTGATGAATAATATATTATAAATACATGACATATAGTTACAATAACAAAAAATAGTTATAAAATAAAAAGAAGATTACGTACGTTGTAAAAACGTACATGCAAAATACGCGCCTTGACGTCGAGTTGCTGACACCAACCCGTTACACACCAAGTACCAAGTACGTACGTTCTAGTGCTTAGAATAATAGCGTAAGAAAATTAATCCGCGTTTGAAAGTGCAAATAACATTTAGAGGACATGAGAAATCGACAATACGCATTAGAAAAGAATTGTAGATGACGTAATACTAATAACGTTTTCATAAAGAAAACCTGTGTTCGGTATTAAATTGCTGAACGGTTACCGTGCCGAACTGCCACGCAGAGGTCTCAGGTTCGATTCCCGGGCCGGAACAAATATTTGTTAGGCATTTATTTCTCTCGTGAGTTTGGGTGTTATTTGTGGTTATCCATGTGTGTCCATGGCACCTGCCATAGTGCGGGGCTATGTTGAGTGTGTGTGCGTTAGTTTTTTTTAACTTTTTTTTTAGGTACTTCGCTGGTAACACATTTCGTCACTTTATAAGACAAAGCAAGATATTATATACAAAGAAACAAGTTATATACTTGTAATACTAGATGCGGCGTTCCATACACACGCTGAGTTTCACTGACGTGCGGTGAAGACACAACACTTCAAAATTGTAGATTAATAAGCAACAGAGTGTTCTGACTACGCAATAACAATGTAAGGACAATGAATAAAATAGTTACTATAGTTAGCATACATAAATTGAAAAAAATATAAAAAACGACTAGGCTGCATGATTGTAAAGATCTTTGCCTTTCGCAAGGTAAAAAAATGCAAGCAAGAGTCCATGACATAACTAACTCGATTGTATTTGTTTAGTTTTACTTAATTTGTTTTTCTTTTTAGTAATATAATAATTATAAATAGTAAGCGGACGGTCCTTGCGTCAAAGCAAAATGAAACGTATTGTGTAAGTAATAGTGACTTTGCCAGGGGCTCTACGTTAATTCCCATCGAGTAGCATCGAGCAGGCAAATGGGCTTTATATCACTTTTAAATATCAACTATCGTTTGCACTGAAATGACAAATTAGAAAGCTGAAATAGTACAGCGCCAACAACTGACTTGTATATATCGACGCATCCGAAGAACAGAGTACGATGTGATTATATAACGAAAAGAGAATAAGTCCGTTACGAGAACAATTTCGTTATTCAAACTAAGGCCTATGTAAAGGTGCTTTGAGAATTTATGTATCTTATTTCGTTTCGGAAAAATAAAATCGAACAGTGGTCTATCTGACATCCACAGCGAAGAAGAACTAACGAAATGTACTATGTCCTGAGAACAAGTAGTCTTGCACATAGATCTTTGTTCTACATAATATTATTGTATATATTAATATTATTGTATATATAATTATATACAATAATATTAAATTATTCTTAATAAGTAACAGGACCTCAGCTCCGACTACGTATTTACAGCCTTTGGAGTCGAAACCCTTGGTCCGTCGGGTCCCGGTACTCTTCATCTGACAAAATTTTCACACACTGGCTTTTGCCTATTTTTAAAGTAATGCATCCAAATTAACGCCCTTGATAAGAAATTTAAAATATCGCACTGTTAATAAAATAGTGTATTAACTCAAAAAGTGGACTTTCTCAGAATCAATGAAAAACTAATTACTCACTTCCCGCAAAAAATCATTAAAATTTATGTATGTTTTGTACTGTTTATAAAGTGAACAATTTCTCAAATATATTTAAAAATATAATTGAAAAAATAATTTAATATTTTTGAATAAGGATTATTTTGGCCAGAACGGGCTCACATGAATTGTGTCTCATTTTGAGTAAGTGGATATCTTTTGATTATTTCTTACAATATTCTAACGACGGTTTTTTGACATGTAGAGAATCAAATTTTACGATTAGTAATGATATAATATTACATTTCACATATTTTGAGTTACAACACTATTGTATACAAAAAGTTTTGACATCTCCTGAATAATCACTCTTTTTAAGATACGAGTTTGAGAAGGAAGGTATTGTTATACTATAATTAAATATGGATTTAAGTTGTACGAAAAATAAGAAAAAATTATTATTTCGAACTCCATTGCTGTCGGATACACAGGCATCTCCATTTTCCAAAGTACTCAGGTAAACTGTACCTATAGAGAAAATGAGTTGTTGACAAAGCACTTGTTATAGCCGGCTATACATGAATGGACACTTGTAAAGCTACCCATAGACGGGCAACTAGTCGTGTCGTATTTGTTTTACGGCACGCGTGTGGAAATAAGTGGACCGTTTATGTAGAGTACACATTTTAAGTAAGTCAAGTGTTTGGCGAAGAAATGTTTTTATAGTTTTAACTGTATTTGGGTAAAATCCATGGCAGTCTAATGGCTTGACCTACC